CTTCTTCAGATAGCATCTCCAAACTTTCCCGAACTCCTGTGAACTGGTTCCAAAGCTTCTGAACCCATGATTATTGCATATAGCATCACAGTAATGACCCCACTTATGGTACCAAAATCTATCTTAGTCATTTACTTCATAGCTGGGACACAATACACAACACTCACAACTTAGAGGAAGAGAGCTTTCTTTTTGGCTCACAGCTTTTACAGGTTTCAGTCCAAGTCCAAGGCAGAACAGCATGGTGGAAGGGCCTGGGGAGAGGAAAGCTGCTCATCTCATGGCACCCAGGAAGCAGAGAGACTGAACAGAGGACCTAAGAAGGGAGATATAACCTTCCATGTCACACTTTCAGTGACACCTCTTCCTACCAGACAACATCTCCTGACAGCAAGTCAGCTAGAAGCCCACATGATCCAATCACTTTCCCAAAGCCCAGCTTAGGAGCACATGAGGTGCTTGGAGGACATCTAGATACAAACCATAACAGGACTTGAACAAAACTTCTTTTAGGAAGGAAACAATCTAACTCATAACACCAGGTGAAAAACAGTGAGATTCCCCAGGGAAAAAAATGGCCTCAAGTGGAGATAGTCCCAGCCTTTGGATAAAAAATAAGAGGCCAGCTATGATGAGTCAGGAACACTCTCCCTGACCTTATTTCCATCTTCATTTGGGGAGCCAAGGTCCTCAGAGATTTCTGATGCTCTTCACCGACAACCAAGCACCAAAGCCCAGTGCTAGATGAAGACTAGATGAAGACCATTTTAATTTAACTGGTTTTGTAACCAGCATCAACACTTGAGTATTTAACAATTAGCCCAGAACTTTTCTCCCTCCTTTCCCTGCCTCCCTATTTTTCTTTCTCCCTTTATTCTTTCCTTTTTTCAGCCGTATCTTTCTTTTGAATATCTATTACGGGGGAGGATTGGAGTTATTAAAATGCCAGAGAAACTGTCCCCAAAGAGCTTGGTCTCCAGAGGCACAGACTACATCTCCCTGGTAACTAAGTGGGTTATTTCTTTCCCAAACAGGAACCAATTCGGTAGACACTGGGAGACCTGTACCCAGCACAACTCCATATACCTGAGTGTTCGATAGCACGATCTTCCTAGTGTTCTCCAGGAACAATCGAATGATTGTACATGCCTCAAGAAGTGCAAGTGTCATGGATGAGAAGCCACAGGAAAGGGCATTTCCAAGTGCCCAGGTTTCCAAGGGGACCCAAAGACTGTTTCGACTACTTGATAAGATAATGGAGCACACTGTCCTCTGGTTGGATGGTATGTTATGATGTTCTTTTTGATGATTTGTTGGCATGCTGACCTCTCTTCAGATGGCTTGAGGCTGCTGGATGTTCCAGGAGGACAGGCATAGCATTGGGGCATGAAGCAGCACTGGCCTGATGCACCCTTGGTTAGAGGTAATGATCCAGTACAGACCTGCTTGCCCAGCATGCACCAGGGGCAGTACAAAATCCACCAGGAGAAAGATGTGTCATGTCACTGCTGCCTTCCTTTTAATTTTTGCTTACAGCTGACCTTCTCATGCTCATCCTGCCCTTGTTGTTACTTATGTGGAACAGGGCCAAGGGGGATGCCAATTTGCAAACTGGCCCACGGCAGCAGGCCCCGGGGCATAAGAGGATTTAGCAGAAGGGCAGTACCTTTTTAGCAAAAGATGCAGTGTCAAAGGCACAGATGTGCACATGGGAAGGGTAAGCAGATGGGAGGTTCTCAGGATATCCATGGGGCCAGCACCAGATAGGCACTTTCTTCCTCCTCCACCAAAGATGCTCCCACAGCTGGCCAGCATGACAGATGCTGGGCCCTGGGGCAGCAAGGCAGGAGACCATGACTGCTCAAAGCAAATTCAATCCTGTTCTGGGGAAGTAGGCCCGGGTGCTGTGGTAGCGTCCTTACCTGGTGATGGTGCCTGCGGCACAGGATAGCCCAGAGCAGGAAGCAGCCCCGCTGTAGTCTACACTCACATTCCTGGAGGATCTCTCTGCTTTGGGCTCCAGTCCCATCTCCCATTCTAGGGGTGGTGCAGATGATAAAAAGGGGATTAGCAGGCTGCTGGCACAAGACAGGGCAGCAGATGGGAACCATACTGAGTCTGCCATGGAGTAGGCATGCAGATACATGGGCAAGTTGATGAACAAGTGGATGAATTCATTTATTCAAATACTTTCAACAGCATCACGACAGGTTTAGCAGCAGACCCTCCAGCTGGGCACCAGAATAGGACACACAGAAGGCACCTCCACCTTAGGGTTGCAGCCTACACATACATCATTTAGATGCCATCAAACTTGAGTGGCTGCTGTGCCATCTCTGCAGGGAATAGGGTGTGGGCAGACTTGATTTGATGAGCAGAGTAAGAAACAACATTCTGGGCCAAAGTCTGAGGGTGAATGGGAATCAACTGCAAGAATTTAAATGAAAAACTTGCCCAGAGAGACAGAAAAATGGGAGGAGTTTGGTTCTACTGATAAATTCCTCCTGGGAATGTCCTGCAAGATACTCCACATCATGCTCCTGGAACTGAGAATGTGCTCAGCGTGAGACAGCAGTGCTGTTAGTCAGTCATCGAGAAACTTATAAAAATCATCTCTAAGAGGAAGCTGTAGCGAGGAGCCACTGTCACACACTATGCTGACATTTCCACTTGACCATGACAGACTAACTGGGGGCCGCCATCAGTGTGGCACTATCTCAGGACATTCTTTCCAGAGAAAACTGAGGAACAAAGGGAAAGGGACATTTACCAAGAGTTCATCTTGTGCCAGATACCATTAAAAGTTGTCATAAATTCCTAAAGAAATTCAGGTGTGAGTGTAGGGACATCGACAGAAAATCCAGAGCCCAAGTTAGGTGCCAGGACTTGGATCTACTCGAAGCCCCCCTTCCTTCTCTTCTGCCATGTTGGGCTTGTGTTCAGGGCCAACATAGAACCTCTCTCATGGCTGCCTTACTGCCCACAGGCCCCCTTGGGATGGCCCATGAGGCAAGATCTTAACCTGTTCCATTTTACAGTATCAACTTGAAGGCGCCATCTGCTTTGGAGTTAGATTATCACAGAAGAGAATTTGAAACTCAGGACTGAACATTCTTCACCACAGGTCATTTATTCTAATGTGTGAAATGAGTGAAAAGCAAAGCTTAGATTTAAAATGGTCCTTTCTGACAGAGAGGGTAGGGCAAGGGGTGGTGGTGAGGATGAAAGGATTGAAAAGATTCCTCCTCTCACACTGCTTTCTACCAAAATGTAGGAAATGACCATGGTTCTAGGGTGGAGTGGTGCCAGGCCACCATATGATTTGATAATGTCCACTGTAGTTTTTAAAACTTGCCCAAAACGCTCCTTCTGTGAGACCACAGATGACACAAAGTTGTCCTTGATTTGATACCAAGTTTGTTTACACAGCTTTGCCCACGCAATCGAAGTGGTAATCTTTTGTGAATCACATACCCTGTTCTTAATTATTTTCTCAAAGCCAGGTTCCAGAATTTTAACCTCATTAGGTCTCTATAAGCATTTCACTGTTGGAGCCACCAGGAAGTGGGAAGTGAGGCGGGTGATGCGTGCACCCCATTTGCCCCAAGTCCCTCTCTGCCCAGGGGTGAATAGCATGTTGTCAGTATGCAGGACCAGGGCCAATGTGTGGCTCGGTAGTGAGGGCTTGCCTAGCAGCATTCACCATGTCCTGGGATCCATTCCCAGCACCGTGAAAGAAGTGTTGCGAATGTGTAGGAACCTCTTGGATGGGATGTTATAAAATGCACAGGCTAAGGACAGTAACAGAAAGCCTTTTGCTGCTACCATTTTAATACTATTTAAAAACTGTGTTGAGCATGGCAGGAGTGTTACGGGAATACACGGGGCTGCTTGTCAGGAACACCCACAACAGGAGTGAGCCCTATGAAGAGGGGAAAGGAAGAAACAGGGCCAAGTCTAACCACTGGCCCAGTGGGCAGGGCACCCCTCAATTCCACTTAGCTTCCACCACACAGAAAGCCCAAATGGTGCTACCCACATGTCCTGTAGAAATTCCATCAAACCTGAAGAGCCACAACGTATTTTTTCATGACAAATTCCAGTGTCCTATGCAGAGGATACCAACACCCCTGCCCTTTAAAAAGAAAAACCCATAAGTACAACAATTGGTTTAGAACCTTTAATAAGAGTAAAAAATGAATGCAAAAAGAACACAATGTTGAAAACTTAGTATGAATGTGAATCTCACTCGATGTTCAAATCTGGTATAGTGCAAATTTTGCTTATACTATTTTATACTTTTACAAACTCAGATCACTTTGGTTCAATATCTGCTATAAACTATTGGCAAAAAAATTCCTCAGAGTCACATTTTTGGGTGACATTTTTCTAACAGATACAGATTTATTTCCAGTTTAAGAGAAAAAACCATATTGTTTGTGCATGATCAAGTATATTTGAAAGATTCACGTACTGCTTTCAACTAGCAACTTCTGGTTTTCACAAAAGGCTGATAGTTTCACTGAAAAATGTTTTCACATAACTTATCATTTATTTTCATTTTCAGAAAACTCGTAAATGATCACCTGAAAGTTCAGGACAATCCATTTGCTTTTAAACAAAATTCCTCTAAAACAAACTTCAGAAACCTAAAATTTACTCCAAGACATTTTCCTCAAAATGAAATAAAGCCACCCCCATGTAAAGGAACCCGCAGACTTCAGCACTGGCAGCCGGGCAGTCCTCACTCCCATCCTGCTGACCGGGACTTCTGCTTCAAAGGAGGCTTTGCATCCATTTAGAATGAACCAGAAACATTTAAGTTGTAAAATATAAAAAGGTAAATTTGTAAGTAAAAATGACTAAACCCGCAGAACTGGAGTATGTCAAAGGACTGGGCTCAGTGGAAGGTCTGACGGTGGAGGGACTCTGCAACTGAGAAGTATTGCTGAACTGCCTCCCTGCGGCACTGAAATGGACGGAGAACCCTTCTCTGGAGCATCTCAGACAATAAAAAAAAAATAAATATTTAAGAGGATACAAGGCTCAGATTGGTTTTCATGTACATTGCACTTGAAGTTTAAGACCCAATACTTGCAAATTAGGTCCACATGGTCTATACCATTAAATGAATACATTGTGCTCACCACTATCGTCGAATGTTTAGAAACATCATGTGGGCAATGCAGTGACGTACGCACTCTTCTTTTTACATGGCAATCACAGATTGCAAGTTCCATAGGGCTGTGGAAAAAATAGACCTCTCTACTCTGGAGTCACAGAGAAACAATTTTGCCTCACTGAGACTAAAATACATGGCAGACAGTTATCCACTCTAGGATGATTAGAGATTTTGGATAAAACGTCACAGAGGTCAACATTCCATGATCGCAGTGTAGGATCATGACTTCTCATTGCCTTTTTCTCTCATTAGATTGTCTACACAAAGCATGGCCTGCTCCCTGTGACACGCATGTGCACATGACTGCAGGGGTGAGCGCTGTGCCACCACAGCGAGTGTGATCATGAGCTGCCACAGCGTGATCCCTGTGAAGTGCCACCTCCCTACATTCACTGTTCCTCCTGTTTTTTTTTGCTTTTTTCACACAACCCTATTTTAAAAATCTTTTGGATAAATATTCCTATTATACCATACTTCATCTTTGTTAAGCACCATCAACCTATTTCCTTTGGGCACTGGTACAAACAGAGTTGGTAATGAAGTTTTAATTCAAGGCTTTAAAATATGGCAACTTCTTTTTAATAACAGGAATGTGATCTAATACTTGGGAAACTGTCCCTGCTAGGTGCCCATGCAGCCTGGGACAGGGAACTCCAGGGCACGGGCGGGCACCACGTGCTCGGTCATGGTAAGACTTCAAGGTAAGCACTGTCTCCACTTTTCTATTCTAGACATTTGTAGGTGGACATTTCTTCCGGAGTCATGTGTACAGTCAGCCCAATCTAAATAGAGTAGGAGAAAGATCATCTTCATCACAACCCACTGTCCCAGAGTTTCTTTACAAATCTGGTTTCTTATTCCTCAGATTCAGTGGGTTTGGAAGCTCAGTCACTATGGGGCTTTTCAGGAACACCCTATATGAGGGGAAAAAAAAGAAGCAAAATTAGAACTAAGTGTATAAATATTTCAAATGTCAAGAAGAGGGTCCTAAAAGGCTTTGAGAAGATTAATACTCCTGGGAGTGGACAAAATGACCGACACAGAGGAGGAACGTGGAGCCCTGAGGCCTGAGAACAGCTCACCAGCTAGTCTGCATGGTCCCCCACCTTGCAGGAGTAGCAGCCCCTGCGTGAGGGAGCCTCACTATGTGGTCTCAGAAGTGGCACATGCAGCATGACAGGAACATGAAAGCTCTGACAGGTACAGCTGACAACTGCCTGGGTATGTGAAGGAGGAGGTCTCTGGCCCAACCCTCACCTCCAGTAGTAGGCTGGTACAAAAGGCTGGGTAGTTCCAATCAACACTTTCTGTCCCTTCCCCTGTGACCCTCATTGGAGCCTGTGTGCTAAGTCTTAGTGTAGGACCAAGCAGACCCAAGAGGCCAAGCTGCCTCTACTGGGGCTTGAGGCCGCACTGCTGCTATGAAAGGTGCTCCCTTTCCTAGCCTGGTGTCTTCCTGTACATTACTTCCTCAACCTGAGCAGTCAGCTTGAGATGAGCATACTGAATGCGAGGGCTATCACCCAGAAAACCAAAGGCTACCCTGTCTGAAGAGACAGTCTTTGCAGAAGCACCAGGCACTCTGGAATGCTGATGGCACCCAGGAAGACCTCCTAGGATACACACTCACTTGTAAAGATAAGCAGCATTAAACATGAAAACGAGAAAGGCTCACACACATACCTCAGCAGGAGAGAGCAAGGTGAGCACATTCTGCCAGTTACCCAGAAACAAACTGCTCATCAGAGTTGATTACCTGCTCCCTATGCACGGATAACAAGGAGAAGGTAGTGTTAGAGCCCAGAGGCCTCAATGTACTAAAATTAGGTCTGCACTGTACAAGAACACAACCAGCTCCCATGATGAGAGCCACCAATGGACTTCTGCAACCCATCTGGAGGCCGCATGATAGGCAGGAGCTGTATGCAAGGGGAATAAGATATGCTAAAGGCAAGAGCAGTTCAAATTCCATCTGCCTGGGCAAAGTGTTTGATCCTCCCCATCTAAAATGGCCTAACGATACTTTCTACCTCAAAGTGCTATGATACAAGGGCTCCAAAGTGAACAGCGACGGCTTAGCACAATGTCTGGGGTATAGCAGCAAGGGCTCAACCAATGTGAATCCGAAATAGCAAGAGTACAGCTGTTACTGAGGGTGGCTGAGCTGGGTCAATCAACAACAGCAGAGCCAAACCACACCACCAACAGAGAGGCAACCTCTGCAGCCAGGGTTCCTGTGGGGCAGCAACAGTATGCAGGCACACACCTGATTGCTGTCAGCAGCCTGAAGCCAACTCTTGAAAAAAAAAACCTTTAGGATGCAAACAGCAACAGCTTCAAATTCTATGAATGACAGCAGAAGCCCATTCTTTCCTTTTCATCACACAAGCTGATGACAAATGCTTTGGTAGTGTTTTTGTACACAAAAAACAACAGCAAGCAGAGAGAGTATGGAAGAAATACAGAGACCACTGAAGTATCAGCAAAGTTAGCTTGAGTGCTGCGGGGCAGCTGTCCTTAAAGAAGTCCCCACTTTTCACTAAGGGGTTAATGCAGGTAGGACCATGGGAAAACCCAGAAGGGAACAGGAGCAGGAGTCCTGTGGGTGCTAGGAATTCAGTACTAACTAAGGCTTTCAGAATGGGCTTCTTCTAATGTCTCCAGGCATTAAGAACCTGTATGTACTGTGAAGTCTCTGCCTCTGCTCAGATTACCGTCACTGTTATCTCCTAAAGCTGACCCGAAAGCCTCCAACACAAATGAACAACAGCATCAATACATCAACCCAAAAATATAACCAAGTCTTCTAATGCTACTCACTTTTCATTGTATGAATAGCTAACCTGGTCGAGGTTAGTTGTATTCTAAAAGTCTTCACAGAAATTTCCTGCCACAGAACACTCAAAAATCTTAAAGCAGCCTAGCACAGTGACACACACTGCAGTATCAGCTACTCAGGAGGTAAGGCAGAAGGATCATAAGTTTGACAGCAACCAGGGCAGCTTGGCAAAACCCTGTCTCAAAATAAGAGAGGAAACACTGAAGCTCAGTGGCAGGGGTCTACAAGACGCTGAGCAATCACAAACTGCTGGAAAATGCCAATATTTGAATGACATTTTACATTTGGTTTTCCCTGGGTTTCATCTTCAGCACAAACCAGTAACACACACACACACACACACACACACACACACACACACGCACACTCAACTCAATGCAACAGCCAACTCCAGAGTTCCTTAGGTCTGAGAGTGAATAAGGTATGCTACAAGGGGACGTGACTGTGTGCAAAAGCAGCACACTACTTTAATACTATTTGACCATATAGATCTTTAACATTAAAAAAAAGCAAAATCCTTTGTCTCTCCACTAAGGGACATGAGAAACAATTCTTTCAATGGAGATTCTCGTTTTGGCAGATCTGTAGGAAATTAACAGGAACAGATGAGAAAGATGCTTGAGACCCAGAAACTGGTGGAACACTACCAATTCTAGTCTTGGAAATGACTTCTATTTTTCAGACACACCCAAGGGGCCTTCAAATTCAATTCCCGGTGAATGGTATCAGCTGGCACAAGTAAATGTACAGCTTTAAAAATAGCATGAAGTACCGAGATAAGTTCCTGAGGAAGCTGGGAGCTTATCTGTGGAGCAAAGGCTCTAGTTTTCTTTTTAAATTTATTTTACTTCAGCTCTTCAAAGTCATCTGGAAATAACATTTATATGTCTGCATTTGTTTTTTAAAATTTAAGTGCTCAAATGTCCATTTTTGCCTACTGAACAGAACTGCTAACATCTCCCCCTTGTTCTTATACCCCTCCATCCTTCAGGAAATGGTTGTGTCCCGGGAGGTGGAACTGTTTTCTCTCACTCTGAGCAGTTGAGACATGTGTTACAATGCTCAGAGAGACTCTTCCCTGAACACGTGGCCATTTGTCCCCAGAAGGGCACTGCTTGCTGACCCATGTTGTCCCCTGGCCAAGACGTGGCTACCCACGGCTAAAAGGCTGGGTCTCCCCAGCATCCTCTGTACCCATGCAACAGAAGGAGGGAGCAAAGTGCCATTTCACTAGGTCATCTGGGTTTGTTTCTGACACCAAGGGAGGATGGGAAGTTTGTGACAAGCCATTAGCTTCAGCTGTTCTGTAGCTGCAAACTCAAAAGAGGCCAGGGGCCACATTTGGAGATGAGGGCTGCACTAGAACTCTAGTTGCTTTGTAGCATAGACTGTGAGTTTAAAAATCTATAAATCTTTATAATTTAGCAAACAATCAGCTGAGTATTATCTCTTTACCACATGCTTTTCTCAGTTCTGCCTGCTGTTCTGTCCGAACCAGACACGTCAATGGAGACAACAGTGAACACCTGAGGTAGTTCTTTCAGGATAAACCACCAGACAGGGTAGGGTGCTCAATGGTCATTTCACTTACCATAGCTAACTGTCGTCCTATGTTTCCCACTGTGACACCTCCTGAGAAAAATATGCATGGGAGCCATGAGCGAATATAGAGAAAATCAGGGGATGTATACCTAGAGGGAAAAAGAAAGGAAAAAGCCTCAGTAGTCAATTTCACCAGTGTAATTCTGGGCCAAAGATTTTCTGTTATGGGGTCTACAAGATGGTAAGCAATCACAAACTGCTGGAAAATGTCAATATTTGAATGATATGTTTTACTGCTACATTTGTTTTCCCTGTGAGTGGAGAATAAGCAGTTTGACAGTTTTATGCCTCAGTCTATGTCATTAGGCACAAAAGCCAATAGCATCTGAAGGCGCGCACTTACTGATAGACACCATTATACACGAGGAACTGGGTGATAAGTGTCGCCAGGAAGGCAATGGTGATCCCCAGCCCAAGGCCACTTCTGGAGCGATCAAATGTCCACCAAAGGCCCAAGGACAGGGCCGCCAAGGTCAAGGACAGCTGGACGTTATTGGCAAAATCCAATTTCTGGTGATACAGAAGTTAAAGAAAAGCTCAATAATTTTTCATAGGATCAAAAACTAAAACCCCAGGAGCTCCTCACAGGTGTTCATCAGTATACCCCAAACCTTACACATGACAGCTGTGTAGGGAGCTAGCTTAGCTTTCCTGGGGTCACCATGTCAAGGTGGAACTGTAAGGGCAGATTCTTGCAAAGTTACACATAAAACTCTTCTGAGGTTCTAGCCATAAAGCAATGTGTTTTTCCATGAAATCATTGTTCTTTCCTTTTTCTTTTTGGTAACTTAAAGTGAGCAGTCCCTTTGAGTCTGTGATGACGTCCAGTCAGAATGGTAACCCAGGACAAGAGACTTAGAGCTGTCATTACAATCTGCTCAACTGATGAAAAATTGAATTTGTTAGCGCTATCATCTATTAAAATGGGAAAGCAGACTGAAGGATCCAGATCTCTAAGAATATATTTCCTTCACCTTAATACAGTTGGCAACAACTGAGATTAGGAAGTCATTCCTTTATCTCCATGTAATTCTAAATAGCACCCTTTCATTGCCCTAAAAGGTAGAAAACAAAAAAAGAAAAGCTCACTAGGCCACTGATACTCTACGTGAATAAGTGCCCAATCTCCTAGTTTGACCTTTGGCCACCCTGATATGTACTACCTGTCATAAATATAATTAAGATCAGAGTGAATTCTGGGACAAGCATGCGTATTGAGCCCCCATGATGACTCAGCACCTGTCAACCACACCTAGACTTTCAGTGAGAAACACCTAAAGCTGAGGTATGTATCCTTCAAATCCCAAACTTGATTTATCTGTGCTTTTTGGTCGATCTGCTGCCAATGCTACCTTTGTGTGCTTTGCCTAAATGAAGTGCTTTTCTGTCACCCAGCACCTTTTTCTGTCTGTGCCTTATTTTATGGTAGCATGGACTTGCACTCAGCACAACTTCCTGAGATCTTCATAAATGTAGTTGCTCACTACTTACTACTGAGTGCATATTTGGAAATTCTTTCCTTATTGTACATAACAGCCTGGGTTACATGGGCCCATTTGGTTCATTTGCCTGCAACAACCTTGTTCTAAAGAAAACCTAAATCTTTCAAACCATGGACCAATTCTTAAAAAGGCACCATGTCAAAAAGTCAAAGTCAAAGCATACTGCACAGAAGGCGTTCTACCCAGACATGCCAGAAGTTCCGGGCTCTCCATGACTGACCCTTGGATGCACTCTCCCCAAAATGTGACAAGTGTCTCTTGCCAGTCCCTACTGCCATAGAAGCCACCACATACTCAGCCTAGGAGGACAGGAGGAAAATAGATCAAAGGGAATTAATAAGAACTCTTATGAGCCAAAAGACAACTGAGAAAAGAGAACCCCTGGAATCCACATTACCTCTGGCATTCTTTCAGCAGCTTCCCAAAATGCAAAGGGACACTAGCAACTGTACCATAAGACTCCTGCTAGGTGTCAAGCAGGTGATATACTCTAAAGTCATGGATGAGGTGCAACTCCAGATGCTCAACAGCATATCATGCTTCCCCCTGGGACCTAAGGGACACTCTAGATATAGTACATCAAGTCAAGGATACAGCACTGGCATGGTTAATACCAACAAAAACTGCAATACAGCGCACGACACTGGCCCACTCTCTCTTGAACTTGTGGGGCTCTCCCAGGTGACTGTCGATACAGGGGTACAGTAAGCCGACAACAGCTGTTTAAAGAAAAAGATATCACTGTTAAAACACACCAACTGAAAGCCATAGTTTTCACATTCAAGTTCTTTAACGGCCATTATTAATACTTAAACCAGTCCCACAGAGGTGTGATGGCCACACCTTCTAAGGGGTTGTAGCTGTCACTCTGTGAGACATGAAGTACTGCCAGTGTGCACTCTGTGGACAAGGCAACCCTGTGTTGGTTCCTCCTCTTCTGCAGCTGGCCCCTGTGTGCAAGCCCCATACTTGGAAAGGGAATAGGCCCAGGAAGAGGAAACTGGGCCACTAGTCCCAGGGTGTCCTGTGTGGATGTGGCTCCTAATGTTTGTTTCCTCATGTGTGACATGAAGAGGATTATGTAACTGGAGTACAGAGGAGGAAGAGATCACACAGTCTGCATGGTCAGGAAATCTCCACAGATGCGGAATCTTAAACACCATTCAAACAGTGGGAAGGCAGGCTTTCCAAAAGTACAGTGGCTAACCAGGTGGTTTGTCTGCGATTCAAACGGGACACAAGGCTCTCGTGTAAAGCGCACCAGACAGAGGAGCTCAAGCCAGGCCGTGGCTTTACTTTGTCTGGCAGGAGAGAGGTGGGCATTCAGCTTTTTTACCAATGAAAAGAGATGCAAGGTTGACCATGTACTAAGGTAAGAGGAGGAGAAATTGTGGTATCTTCCTAGAATTCATTGAAGTCCCAGTTATAAATACTTCATTTTGGAGATGGAGTTTCTGATTCAAAGAAATAAACTCTGGTATCAAATGTGTTTAAAAAATGCAATTTCAAATCCAGATCCACTTTTCAAAAAGAACTCATTAGTACAACCGTGTCCTTAAAGGGTTCAGAGAAAAAGGAGGTTCCCATCTTTCTGAGGACAAAGATGTGAAGTTTCTGCCTCACCTCAATAATTACAGTACTCTGCCTGGCTGAAGCACATTGTGCCCCTTACTGTGGGAGCAGCCTTCCAGTAGGGAGACAATGCAGAGTTGCCAGCCACAGCTCTGCACTCACCACTGTGGAAGCTGGAATACTGCATGCTGTGCCTTAGTCTCCACATCTATAAAATGGAGCTAGAGTGTAGTACTGCTGTAAAGGGGCAAACCAACAATAAAGTGTATAAAACATACAAGCAGCCAGTAAAAGTCAGCCATAGAGTACATAGGTATTTGTCTTGCTGTTTTGTTTTGAGTGCTCCTGTGGTATTGAGCAATGTGATCAGCCACAACCACGCAAGGTTTTTATAAACCAGATGAATTATAATTAAGAAATTATATTAAAAAACACAGCAATCCACAGTCTATCTACTCCTTGTTGAGCTCTGGGGCATCTCTGGGATAGGTCAGGTGAGCTGCAAGATATCTTTTCATAAGGGGTTCCTGCTCCTGTCCTTCACTCAGGAGCTGTGCCCTGAAGGGGTGGTGGCTGTTTGGCTGAAAGCCACTGCAGAAGGAAGTGCTGACAAGTTGCTGCCCTGGCAACCACCTCCGGCACACACGTGATAGTTTGTTGTCAGTTACCCGCAGGGTAGCATGTTTGTGCCTGCAGCCAATGGCACGCGGCCCTGCCCTCACCAGTTCTGCAGGTGGCCAATCTCTGGGCGCTGGCACTGGGTGACAGCTGTGCCTCTGTCAGCCGGACGCTAGAGGGACGGGACTCATTAGCCTGGCCCAGGTTTGCTCAAACGGCCAATTATCTCCAACCTCATCTCCATCCCTGCTCCTCAAACTTCAGGGCTGCTGTGGCCAGAGCGGGCTCCCCACCCTCCGGGCCGTCCTTCTCTGGACACAGAAACCGTGATGCCAGCTGTCACCCGAGGCGGCCTCTTTGCAAACGTGTCCCGCTCCTGCTTTGGAGGGGGCTGGCAGGGGATGCAGTTTTCTGTGTCCCGCGCTGGGCACTCACCAGCGGCCGTCCCGCAGCACGGTGGCACCCACCAGGCCGAGGAGAAGATGGTGGCGATCACCTCGTCCGGAAAGAGCGTGACATTCCTCTGGATCTGCAGCAGGTTGAGCACCAGGGCCAGGACGACACCGACAGAGAAGAGCACGAGGCTCCTCTGCACCAGGTCGTGGTGCCAGCTGCTGGCCTGCGGGCCCCGGGGCGCAGGG